CTATTGATACAAAATTTCGCACAAATATTAGTTTGGCATACAAAAATTCTATTTCAAGATTTTTTCACGATCGGTCCATAACATGGGTGCGGTCGGTCCCATGCAAGGTTCCCTTCAGAAAATCACTTGAACACACATTACTTATTACTAAATTACGATATAGATACAAAATTTGACTGAAATATAGCATTTATGTACAGAAATTTTGCTTAAAGAATTTTTTACGATCGGTCTATAATTGGTCATATCTTCCATACTATGTCCTGCCCCTAAAAGCACTTTAACCGTATTTAACTAGTTGCATTATCAATTTGTGTAGAACAAAATTATATATGTATATGTATTTTAAAAACCCAGTAGGATTTTGAGTTAACTTAAAACTAACTTATGGTTAACCACAAATGAGTCAGAGGTGACTCAAAAGCTAACCATTTTGCTTATAAAATACTATTCAGTTTTTCAATGTGATGTCATAGGAACGAGTCAGTACTCACTCACTATACATCAGTTTCAGTTAACCAGAAGTTACCTCAAGATGAGTTAGCTTCTAGTGCATAAATAAAAGATCAGCTGTGAGTTACCTGTGCAATTTTCTTATATTTTTATACTATTTTTAACAAATTGTTAGTGATTATAAATGCGTTCAATATGCAGCAACATTTCCTTCCTATATACACCATTATCTATGTCACAGATAACCAGATAAGAAACCATTGACAGCTGTCAAAAAAGTAAATTCGAACCGTATGGTTTTGTTTACATTTTTTTTTTACCATTTTTGAGTTCCGCCATTAGGTAAAATTTTAGAGCAAAAGAAAAAATAAAATGTATTAAAAAATCGATGAGTGTGTGAGATGAGCTGTATGATTGTTTTCATCGCTCGTTTGAAAAAAAAATAGCAAAAAATGTAAACATCCAAGAAATTGTATGTGAAGAAGAATTGCAAAAAAATAAGATTAAAAAGAAAACAATTATTTTATTAAATATTTGCTTAGATTCTAATTAAAAGTGTACTGGATTTGTTTTTTAATTATTCCTTAATGTTCTTTCATTATAAAACACTTTTCAATACACTATCAACACCACAAACAAATTTTTTGACTTGCATGTACAGTAAAACCCGTTTATTTGATTCAACGCATATTTTTTGAAGTTCGATATAAAAAAGGATAAATGTATAAAATTGTATTCATGGGACTAAATAGTAATTTGTTTTAACCAAGAATTCTTTATAAAATATGTTTTTGTATCAAAATAGTTATCAAAATTCCGGTAATTAAGATGAGTTCGTAAAGAGCAAGAAGAAGTTATAAATGGGTTTGACTGTAATGCAATTTGTTTTTTATATTTGAAAAAAATTAAGTGTAAGGTGAAGAGAGATGGAAATATATCTTTATATATTTGTCCCTCTTTTAAATCTCCCGTGGTTCATTTTACATTTTCTTTTGTTGATCAGCTGATTCCAGTCTATGAGTAGTCTATGATCTATGTCTTAAATTCCGGAAAATGTTAATTTACTAATAATAAATTCATTTTTCATTGCTGAAACAAATTTTCATTTTCATAATTTCATTTTTTCAATACAAATTGTTTGACAAATTTGATATGAGTTTCTATTTTATTTTTTATTTAAAATTTTATTGAAAAGTTTGTTCATTTCCTCGATCATTTTTGAGTTACTTTGAAGCTAGTCATAAGAAGTTATCAAAAAGTTAACTTGATTTTTAGTTAACTCACAAAATCCTACAGGGAATCCTTAAATCTTTCACACACATGCATACATACACATTATTAAATATCGTGAAAGCATATCTTAGAGCGCTATAAAAATATAAATGAAAATGGGGTTTGGAATTATAACGGTATAGCTGTTTAAATCTTGGGGTTTTTCTATTTAAGACATGAGAAAACTTATTTCTACAAATATTTGATCAATTAAAAAAGTATTAACATAAAAGTAGCTGGTGGAGGGTATTTATGATTCGGCTCAGCCGAATATAGCACTCTAACTTGTTTAAATTTGGTTCAGCTTACGAACGGCCATCTCTAGACTTAAAATATTTTGGCAATCATAAAACAAAGCAAGGTAAATTTCAAGAGGGGTAACAAAAACACGTTTTTGCTTTCCATACAGAGTGAGTCGGTCTAATGTACATTTATCTTAAAAAATTAAATAAAGTAGATCTAGGAATGTATCGTTTCTGAATTATTTGCATAGCACCTGTATTTAATGGTTGTTTAATAATACGTTTACCGAAATTAGTGCGCACTGCGCATAATATAAATTATTTAATGAGCTATAATGAGCGCATTTCAAGCAGTTGTACACTTTGAACCACCACATTATCGCCTGTAAGCAACGTACAATGACAACGACAACTATTTCTAAATTTTCGCTAAAATATTATTGAAAATGATACCAGAGATGATTTCAGAGAAGCTGAAAAGTTTGTTTCTATCAACGCTACTTATTTGTAGTAAATAAACAAATTGTTTAATAGTGAAACCTATCTGTTGTTATGATAGTTGACAATGGCGTATATAAAAATGGATAAATTGGACTTGTTACCTTTAATATTTAAATGTTTTTGTAGATAGGGCCTTTTGTTTTTTGTCAATAAAATCTCTTATTTTGGTCGGAGGAGTCCAACATTTGTTTTGATGCAATACGTTATAATCAACAATAAAATTGATTTTGAATTTTTGGTTAGTTAGGGCCGTTTGCGTTTCAGGTGACGATATATGGATTTCAGGGTTGAAAGTTAAAAATATGAATTATGGAAAAAACGGAAGAACAGAATATTAAATTGTCGTTTGGTCACAACTAGGAAGATTATTCTCTTTTAAAAACCGGTTTATTATTTTCGTAAAATCGACTAACCGGGTTCATTGAAACGAAATAAAACATTTTCAGATGATTAATTTATTTAAGTAATAGTACGTTCACACATAACAAATATTTGACGAAAAGAATAGTGGTTACCTATTAATATTGATTTAAATTCAGTTAATTACAACTTTCATTACATTCAAAGCATTACATTCAGAAAATTGCGGCCTTAATTGCACAACTGGCAAAATAATAAACCTAAAACTGGCCGAAATGTTGGAAAAAATCAATTATTTTTTAGAATTTTTTATTTATTTATTATTTTTTTTTTTTTTTTTTTGTAGCAGGGTAGTATTTGATCAATATAATGCAAAATCTCCTAACCTTTTATTATTTTTCTCTTCTATAAATAGCACATAAAGACAAATATTTGCGAGTAGGGAACTTGAATGTGGACCACTCTAATGTATTCAAACCAAGTATATAAACCATAAATCTCTTTTTTGGTTATATATTTATTTTTGAATTTAAAAATAAATTTCTATACATAAACAACTCCATATACAAAAATATTAAATATTTTAAAAACATATTTATGTACAAATAATTACAAAATGATAAATTAAAAACAACTGAATAAACAATAAAAACCAATTCCATTTGCTTATCTTAGAAAGCGGAAATGTTCCAATAAGAAATTTGAAAGACTAAAAACCGTTTAGCAAATAAAACAAATTAAAAATCAAATTAAACAAAACAGCTACCTTCGCATACAACTGTGGAATTGAGAAATAGTAACAGCAATATGGCATCTCTGAAATGACGTAAATCTATTTCTCATACTTTTTTTGCTTCTGTCATCTTCGTTGTTTTTATACCCGCGTGAAGAAAACATACCGGTAACAAATCAAACTGCCAAAAAACTACATACACAGTTGCACAAGAAAGTAACCCCAAAAATAGTATTAAAATACGCATTTTTGCAACTATACAATATAACTTTCGACACAAGGCGAATTCATATCAGGTGGTGTTATTCAATCAGCTGATAATTTTTTTCTTATTCGCCTGGTTTACGTAGCTGTCAAAGTTTGTTATTGTTTACATTTTTATATTTAAAAATTTCCGTTAAACGGAGAAAAACTTCGTTAATATTTTGAATTATTTATGTAAAAAATCTAAAAATACCAAGCATCTCGTAAACAAATATCATTTTATTTAAATAATGGCATAATTGGTATATATACAAATATGTTATTTGGGAAAAATATTTTTTCTATTAAATGTTAACATATTAAACAATATTGGTTTATATTTTATATTAACATTGTGTATATAACGTGATTAACTAAAAAAAATCTCTTCCGGAACACTTTATATAAAGAAACACATATGAAGAATTTAGCCGAACAACGGAAGCTTACTTTTACATATGGCTTAATTTTGAAATCTATTAAATGTTAACAAATTAAACAATATTGTTTTATATATACACTATGTAGATAAAGTGTCACAAAATTTTAATATCTTTATCTTTATTTTTAATAAAATATAACAATTTTATAAAAATTTTTCATGAAATGAATTCGCCGTACTTATGGTTTTTGACATCTACGTAAACCAAATGCAAAAGCAAAATACATGTAAAATGTTGTTGTTGCAGAACTGCCACCACCTTTTCTGAATTCGCCTTGTTTTGACAGTTTGCTTAACATACTTTTGCTGTCTCTTTCATAGCGTGTTCACTATTTAAGTGTTAGTTTATAATATGTAAATCATTCAAATTCGAGAGAGATTTGTTTAAGGAACCGATTTATAGTGTTTTCGCGGTCTAAAATTAGCCAATTATATGGTATTCACTATTAAAGTGTTATTTTTCAATATTAACAAGTATATATTTTGTTGATTATAAAATCGGTCAGATATTGTTGTGCCAAAAAAAGTTACACTAATTTCAAGAGATAATTGTCCTAGGAACCGATTTATGGGGTTGTCATTTTCGAAAAATTAGCCAATTATATGGTATTCACTACTTAAGTGTTATTTTTCAATATTAACAAGTATATAGTTTGTTGATTATAAAATCGGTCAGATATTTGGTAATCAAAGGTATGTACGTTTTTATACAACTCTGGGAAAAAGTATGTTAAAAAAGTATGTTTTCTTCCCATCGATTGTTTTTATTTTCAGTTTCTTCTTCGAAATGGCGACGAAGGTTTGCAGCAGATTATTTCTAACGAAAAATTTAGTGAATTTAACAAAAAATCTAAGACCAGTTCAAAGAAATTATAGTAATGTCCGTTTTAATGCAGAGAATCGAAAAAATTATGTAAAATATTTACTAATTGTTGGTGGCGGTGTGACCGCATTTGTGTGTGCAAATTTAGTTAAAACCAAAACGAATACTGTTCAGGCATTTAATATAAAACGCATTAAGGTAATTAAAATGCATTGGCTAATAATAAATTTGTCTTATTGTGTGTTTTAAAATTAGTGTGAAAGTGTTGGAACAAAAGGTTTCTACGAAAATTATGCTAGTGAAAATGAATTTTGTGGAAAAGTCAATATATATATATTTATACATATTGTCTGGATAAGTGAAATTTTCTTTTATCTATTTTTAGCTATGTTTTGACATTTTGCTTTCATTTTATTACGTTATTCGTATTATTTATTTACGTTATTTCGTGAAGAGCAAAATTCTGTTTCTCGTTGTTTTCATTGTTATCAACAGCTGTTTTTTGTTTACATTTTATTTAATACCAGTGTTGCCAAAATATAAAATAATATATCTTTTGAACGTTTTATAACATTTAGGAGAGAATTTAAGTAATTCTTTGTTATAAACTGAACTAAATACAATATTTATTAAACTTTAGATTGAAATTGTTGATTGCGTTTTATCACTTTAGATCAGCTAAATAAGTCTTCCATTCCCTGAATTTATTAAGGGGGCACGGAGTAATCCCAAAATCCACAAAAAAATACATTTGATTTCAAAAATGGTTTCAAACATTCAAAACCGTTTAATCAGAAAAAATACTATAGGTACAGTTTAATACTTCCAAACGAATAATTTTCATGACAGTTTGAATTATAATAAAATTTTAGTCATTTTAACTTTTAAAAATTCCTTAGAATCAAATGAACAATATAATAGGTATGTGATTAGGTTGAATTACCTGCAAGTAGCTAAACTTACCAGAAAAATAACAAACCAAATTGAAATTTAGATTTTGATTCCAGGGCATCACAAAAAATAAATTTGACTTGGAAAACTAAAGAATATAAAACATTTCATGGACATCGTATTTAGTTAAAGATGTGAAGGAATATTTTGCTAGATTAAAGTTTAAACGTATTGATAACTTTACTTTAATTGTTATACCCTATATGGAAAGGGTATTATGCATTTGTGCTGATGTTTGTAACACCCAAAAACATTGTTCCTACACGCACCTTGAAGTATACCAATAGGCTCAGAATCGCTTTCTGGGTCGATTTGCTATGTCAGTCTGTCTGTGTGTCCAAGTAAACCGTGTGCGCAAGTTACAGGTCGCAATTTTTAAGATAATTTGATGAAATTTGGCACAGGGACGAAGCTTATTGAAAATGGTTCAAAATGGACCATTATTTCGCCTAGCCACCATACAACCGAATATGGCTTATGAACTCATAATTATGTGGAATGTCTTGATATCTCAACGAAAATCGGAAAAAAATAGTTTTATAAAACTTTAAATTATACTGCCGATTTTCGTAGTGATCGGGCCTCAAATATCCCTAGCCCCTGTACAAACTCCCTTCAGAATATGACTTACAAACACTAATAACACGATGAAATTCTGCGTAAATAACTTTAAGTAGACGTAAATTCCTCTTCCAAAATTTATAAGGATATGCCCATATTTACCCTTACCCCCATTTTTATCTACAAATTGTAAAAATATTTTGGAATTAAAGTAAAAACAAATTAAATGCTTTATTATTAAAAAAAATAATCTACATTTTTAACATACTCTCTGTTGTAGGGTATCATATGGTCGGTCGTTCCCGACTATGTATTCATACTTGTTTCAAACATAGATTCTTGAATGCCTGTCAAGTTTAACATACGCGATGAATCAGAACTTAATATTCTTAAAATCATTATGATGGTCAAGTTATGACCTCATTTTCTTTTAAATATAATATATGTATATACTATGTATAAATAAACAAGCTATCAATGTATCATTTCTTAATTTTTAATCATAATGAGAAATAAATATCTACATTGGTTTTTCTTGACCGTTAAAATTTGCTAGAATAATAAATAAGTTTTAATGAAAAACTTATTAGAGAAATAGCTACTTTGTAATTAAAAAACAACTTGAAAAGATAAATATTTTTTTGCAAAACTTCGATATTTTCATTCTTTGGAAAACTTGTCTCAAATAGAGACATTTTATATTTAGCCCTTCGATATGTAACAAATTATTGAAACCCAGATATCTTTAGCCTAATTATTTTTTATATGTAACAAATATTTACGTATTTAATATAATTTTAACACAAATTCAATATGTGTAAAGATATTGTAAATAATACAATAGAATCAGATGTGTTTTCACACATCTTTACTGAAAAAATTCAATTAGTATTAAATGATTTTACATTTTATAGAAGGTTGAATACACCTTTTTAAGTTGGGTCAATAAACCTTCTCTATAATAGTATACTTTAAATTAATAAATACTTTAATTGTATACTATTTAAATAAATCACTAGAATTTTAGAAGAGTGTTTAGGAAACAAAACTACATACAAGTTTATAAATTTAACATTGACAATTGAAAAAACAACAGGAGACTATTGTGTAATTCGATTCAAAATAAACCATTACCAAACGATTTAGTTTACGAATCGAATTACAAATTGGCCTTCAAAATTTAAAATATTAGATTTTTATAATTCAGCGTTCTAATTCATAAATCTTTATTCTTACTCTTATAAAAGTATTTTTATAAATTTAAATTCTTATAAAATTTGTAACGTAAATCTGTTTTATAGTTTAATTTTAATTAAAGAGCATAATTAGATTTGAAAAATTAATTTAAAAACTACAAAAATGTAAATGTTCAGCTACATATGATTATTGTTTAACCAACATATCCAATATCCATTCACAAATTTACTTACGCATATGAAAATATGAATGAACGGGTGTTGCATTTCGATACGAACGATCCCAATTTCATAATCTTCATATGATCACCTGACAAAAAAGAGAGAAAAAAGTGAAGAACCAGGTGAACGTTTATAATTATGATGAGATTGTTGCTTTTGTTGTTTGTTGGCAGACACCAGCACAACTAAAATTAAATACACACGGCTAATAAAATAAAAACAAATTAAAAATAAAGTTGACAACAATGAGTTTAACAAAAAGCCAACAAACTTTTCATTGTAACTTATCTAAATGACAAAATCTTATTTAGCGGTGATTGTTGTATGAGTATCTGTCTGTCGGTCGGTCCGATGATCGTATGTGTGTGGTTCACGGTATGAGTGCTTACTTATGTCTCTGACTGAATGCCACTTGGTTCAACTAATAACTCATGATACTTTGACGATATTAAATTACAAATAAAACAAAAACATTAACAAATCTAAAAAACTCACATGAGCGCCAGTTTTTTTTAGTTAAAAACAAGGCGAACATCACAGAGATTTAAAAATTTTCTTTCAAAATATTAGTTTTCAATTTTTAATAATGAATTATGATTTCCTTAGATGAAATTGTTAACATTTGAATATGTGGTTTTCTAATTGATATCCTTTTTATATAACTTTTTTGTTTGTCACTAAGTTTTTTAATCAAATATTTACTTGTAATAGTACAACGACCGATAGTATGAATGTAAATTCTATGAAACTTTCCAGATACATACCTAAAAGATGTTTACGACGTATAAAAGGCAATTGGCAATATCAAAAGTTTATTGACATAATCACCTTCATTAACAAGGATACCTTCCTCAAACCGAAGCTCTTATTAATCCAAATTTTATTCAATATTCAGATCAAAACAAAGATGAATATCTTATTGAGATTTTTAACATAATTTGCCACCTACTTCATTTATCTCTTTTCGGTTATAAGATTGGTATCACATTTTTGTAAGCGATCCCAGATGAAAGATAACAACATCATTTGCCACAGATACACAGACGGATAAATCTAGAAACCTTAATAAAACTGACATCATCCTTTTCACAGCTACTGGCAAAAACTTTAGAAACTAAAAACAATCCAACAAACAATAATCATACAATATTTGCCACCTACAATTCAATCACAGAGTCATACATCATGGAATTGTGTCATGAAATATTTTAAAATTTATTGTATTTATGTCAGTCATTTCAATTGTACAAACATTATGAAAACATGCCATAAAAATAACAAAAAAGACATTGTAACAATTGTCTGCCCTAAACACAAGGAGTCTGGAATTAAAGTATTTTTGCATTAAACTCCACCTTCTTGTGGTTTATAACAATCATTATTATACAAAGTACGGCTACCGATATTATCTGTTTTACTTTTTTATCTGTTCCTTCATATTTTATTCCCATTTTTTTTGTTTTGTTTTGTTAATGCTCGTAAATATGGCAAGTAAAATTATTCGTAATATTGTAGACATATTTAAATGAACTTGTGATTTATTTTGTTGATAGTGGCATTTTCTAAAATGTTACATGGATACGTTTGTATGTATGTTTTCCAGTACAAATATTGTTTTTTAGTATGTTTAACATTTAATCGTTCCGAGCCACAGGTGGGTGTTTTATTATTGTTATTATTATTATGTATTTAACTTATAATTTGCAGTAGTCAATTTTAGTGCCAATCGAATGGCGTTTGTTCAGGCACTCATTCACTCACTCGATCAGTTTAATATTGAAGCATGTGTCTATTGTATCTTATTATGGATATTTGGCGCCATTTAAATTAACATTTGTATCAAATTTCTTTATTGTTGTTTGTAATTCCTAACTGATAATTTATAGGCCAATTTGTTTATTTTGATGTGCTATGATTTGTTAACTCTACAACTAAATTTATGATCATTTTTCCCGTTTTTATTGTTATTCTTTATAGTTTTCTGTTGAATAAATACCGCGCGATTAAAGAAATTATATCCGTGAGAATATTTAATATGAAACACGATATTTGTTATTAATAATAATAAGAAGGTCTTATTTTTACAGAATAATTTCTGTTGTTCTGAAGTATTTTGTATTAAAAATTGGCAAAATCTCTTGATTAGGAATTAATAGCAACTTACACAACGCATGATTGTTGATACAGCTGTCGTTCAAAAATCAAAATATCGCAAGATAAAAATGGGCGTGCCTCAAGGAGGAGTATTGTCAACCTTACTCTTCAATATTTATCTTGCAGGGCTTCTTGAACCCCCCACTGATGTCTCGTTGGTGTCGTATGCAGATGATTGCACCATCATTTCATCAAGTGTCAATATCGACGACATAAGCGCCAAAATTACCCAATACTTGGCCATAATTACAGACTTTTTTTCAGGAACACAAACTTAGGTTATCTGCTTCTAAATCCTCGGTATCACTTTTCACCTCTTGGACCAAAGAAGTAAGGACGGCGCTAAACATCTCCGTCGGACCCCGAAAATATTAGGGGTAGTCTTTGACAGCCTCCTTCACTTCGCAGGGCACGCAAACTACATCAACCAAAAGGTTCGAAACAGAAACAAGGTCCTTAAAGCTTTAGCTGACACCTTTTGGAGCATGGATAAAGAGACGATTGTAGCGACATACAGGGCTATTGGTCGCTCTCTTCTCAATTATGCTGCCCAGTATGGACCTCTTTCCTCAGTGATACCCAATGGCGAGGTTTACAAACGGCTCAGAATAATGTACTTCGAATCGCAACCGGTTGTGTCAAGATGACGAATGTGGATCATTTACATGAGGAGACCAGGTTACTGTCAGTCAGACAACATAATGTGTTGTTGACTAGACAGTTCCTGTTGGCATGCCATCTGCCTAGTCACCCCAACCATCAGATTCTGATGGAGGATCCCCCTCCCAGGCACATCCGGATGGACTTCCGACGCTTTCGCAGCGACATCCAAGACGTCATACCATCGGACGTCGACAGACTGTCAATTGCAAGCGCCCGGGAAATGTTGCATCAAATGGCGGTCACCGAGGCCATTAATGGCTACAGATGCAACAGAGTCCTAAATGAACACCCCCCTGCGATATCGGAAAGTGAGAGACAATTACCCAGGCACTCTAGAACCACCTTGGCACAATTAAGAGCCGGCTGGTGCAGTTTCCTCAACTGCTACCGTGAACGTATCGTTCCAGGCACCTTAAATCGTTGCCCAACCAATTGTCCAGCTAGGTCTACAAATTTGCGCCCCATAGACCTATGGTTAAGAACGACTGAGGTGGCACAATTTCTCCAGCTCCCCCTTCCACCCACAGACACAAAATCAAATAATTAAGTATTTATTATTCTATTTTCAGGAAAGAACTATCGGCCACAGTCGAACTGTTACAACAACAACGCATGATTGTGGCCTATACTCGTTTGGTTCGGAACTTATTCTAGGGAGGGTTTAGAGTAGAACTTTAGAACAGTTCTGCAAACGGTTGTTTTTCAGCGACTTTTGTTTGATATTGTTAAGATGAAACAAATTTTGAAAAACACTGATTGGATTTTAATAGTATTGACAATATCATTAATTTAATTCTTTAAAAAAATCTTAAGTGTTAATATTTGCTCCCGTTCTAGGTCTAAATATAAAATAATATTATTCGATTTATTTCAATTTTTTTCTTATATTTACTTTTGGTTTGAAAATACCTTTCATTAAAAATATTTTTAATTATTTTCTTTAAATAGCGAGATGAACTATCCTCTTCCGTTAAACTCACTGCCCGAGAAAGACGTTTTATTAAATTCTCTTCGGTGGAATATGATGGACAATTGTATATGACACCACAAGATTTTCTTGATTCTGTTGTTGAACAGGAACCCAGACGTGAGTACTTAAACAAAGCTTTTAACAAAGCCCAAATTTATAAAAATAAATTTTCATACAAAATTTGTTTTTTTTTTTTTAAACATTGATAAATTTATAGAAAATGATTATGAATAAGTGCTTGTTAAAACATAAATAAATATATCATTTTTTCCAAAAGCTCGTCTCAAACGTCGTATATTAACCGATCAAGAGGTAACAAAAATTAAGGATGAAACACCACCATTAAAGAAGGGCTCTAATCAATTATTTAGAACTCTTAGGGATAAAGGTATATTTTTTAATAATTCGTAATTGTTATAAAACTATAATTTAGTTACAAAATAATATTTATATTACTATATATTTTCAAAAAATTTCAGGAATTATTTCTTATACGGAATACTTGTTTCTTTTATCTATTTTGACTAGTAAGTATAATAACCGTAGTTTTTAAATAAATAAAATTTAGTAAGATGTTAAATGTATACTTTTTTCTTATTAGAACCCAAATCTGGTTTTCGTATTGCTTTTAATATGTTTGATACTGATGGTAATCAACGTGTGGACAAAAATGAATTTTTGGTGGTAAGTTTTTTGGTATTATAATTAGTTGCGTGAACTACATTCAAAAATTATTTTCTTATTACAAAAAACTTCCTTTCCTAAAGATAATTTTAATATCCCAAGAAAAAATAGTTCTACAACTAGTTCTAGAACACATTTAAAAGACTGAGCTTGTTTTAGTTTGACGTTGAGATTAATGTTTTATGTAAGAGTCTTTCACTTTCGGAACTGGTCCTATGCAAGTGTTATAAAGTCGACAATCGTTCTATAGAACTATTCTGGAATTGTTACCTCCCTAAGAGATCTCTTGGTGGCTTCTACAACCAGTTCTTTTACTAATGTTTGTTTTTAAGTTTTCTTCTTTGGAACTAATGAATCTTTAGACAACAAATACATCTCTTTGGGAACACATTTTAGACTATAACATTTTCACAAATTATATGTTAAAATATACAAAATTTAAACCACTTTTTGAAGAGCTTCTTTCTTATAGATACATTTTTATGTCCTGAATAGAACCAACTGCTGAACGTAGTGCCAAAGAACCGTTTCATAGAAAGTTCTTTAGAAGTGTCATAGAACAGGCATTGAAAAATCAGTACTTTTTTATATCCAAAAATACAGCGGCACCTTCACGGCATTTACGATACTTTTTCTAACTTACAAACATAATCAATAGACCAGATTATAGTATAGTCTATAGTATAGTCTATAGTATAGTCTATAGTATAGTCTATAGTATAGTCTATAGTGTAGTCTATAGTCTCGTCTATAGTCAAGTCTATAGTCTAGTATATAGTCTAGTCTATAGTCTAGTCTATAGTATGGTCTATAGTCTAGTCTATAGTCTAGTCTATAGTCTAGACTATAGACTAGACTATAGACTAGACTATAGACTAGACTATAGACTAGACTATAGACTAGACTATAGACTAGACTATAGACTAGACTATAGACTAGACTATAGACTAGACTATAGACTAGACTATAGACTAGACTATAGACTAGACTATAGACTAGACTATAGACTAGACTATAGACTAGACTATAGGCTAGACTATAGACTAGACTATAGACTAGACTATAGACCATACTATAGACTAGACTATAGACTAGACTATATACTAGACTATAGACTAGACTATAGACTAGATCTACTCTATAGTCTAGTCTATAGTTTAGTCTATAGTCTAGTCTATAGTCTAGTCTATAGTCTAGTCTATAGTCTAGTCTATAGTCTAGTCTATAGTCTAGTCTATAGTCTAGTCTATAGTCTAGTCTATAGTCTAGTCTAGTCTAGACTAGATCTACTCTAGTCTAGTCTAGTCTATAGTCTAGTCTATAGTCTAGTCTATAGTCTAGTCTAGTCTATAGTCTAGTCTATAGTCTAGTCTATAGTCTAGTCTATAGTCTAGTCTAGTTAGTCTATAGTCTAGTCTATAGTCTAGTCTATAGTCTAGTCTATAGTCTAGTCTATAGTCTAGTCTATAGTCTAGTCTATAGTCTAGTCTATAGTCTAGTCTATAGTCTAGTCTATAGTCTAGTCTATAGTCTAGTCTATAGTCTAGTCTATAGTCTAGTCTATAGTCTAGTCTATAGTCTAGTCTATAGTCTAGTCTATAGTCTAGTCTATAGTCTAGTCTATAGTCTAGTCTATAGTCTAGTCTATAGTCTAGTCTATAGTCTAGTCTATAGTCTAGTCTATAGTCTAGTCTATAGTCTAGTCTATAGTCTAGTCTATAGTCTAGTCTATAGTCTAGTCTATAGTCTAGTCTATAGTCTAGTCTATAGTCTAGTCTATAGTCTAGTCTATAGTAGTCTAGTCTAGTCTAGTCTAGTCTAGTCTAGTCTATAGTCTAGTCTAGTCTAGTCTATAGTCTAGTCTATAGTCTAGTCTATAGTCTAGTCTATTGTCTAGTCTATAGTCTAGTCTATAGTCTAGTCTATAGTCTAGTCTATAGTCTAGTCTATAGTCTAGTCTATAATCTAGTCTATAGTCTAGTCTATAGTCAAGTATATAGTCTAGTCTATAGTTTAGTCTAGTCTATAGTCTAATATATAGTGCATTCGACAGTCTGTTCTATAGTCTAGTCTATAGTCTAATATACAGTGCATTCTACAGTCTGTTCTATAGCCTAGTATACAGTTTGTTAGTACTAATTAAAAATTTCAATTTTCTCTGACTGCTATAGAGTCACAATATCATTCCAAGGAGCTAGTTCTAAAAGTATAGTAGAGACATCACCAGTTTCTTGTATTCTATCTAAGATTCAGAATTAGTTTTGTTCGCACTCGTTCTAGAACTAGTTCTTATGACAAATTCTAATAATTTTCTTGGCATAAATTATATTCTTTTCACAATTATTGTTAAAATATCTTGAAATTATGTTTGAATGTAGTAGCACGTTTCCAAACCATTTTATTCTTATGATTTTATTAATTTATTAATTTTTTTGCATGCCGTTTTACTTTTTTAATATTATTTTTTTATAATTTAGATTTTAAAAATTTTGGGTGGCTCTTTTCGTTCACATGAATTGGATGAGGAAACTAGACGCATTGTAAGCATTTTTATTTCTTATGTAGTTTTTATTATTTTTGAGAAAAAGTTTTATTTAAGAAATCGACATTTAATATTTGTAAAATACTAGTAATATTTTTAATAAATATTGGACCGCCACTGTGAATAATGTCGATTTTTTTAATAAACTACTTTTTATTCATTCACAATCATTTCATATAATAATTATAAATTATTTATGTATTTTTTTATAACAAAAAAAAAAAAAAAAAAACAATATCAAAAACATATAGCTTACCAATACAGGATTTATGAATAGGTTTTGTAACAATTCAATTAGATTTATATATTGTCATAATATTATTTTTTCAATTATTTAAATTTATTATTATCATTTCATTTACATAATTGGAAAAACTTTAGCTTAAACGTTTAGTTTCCACTGAAGAACAAGCCAAAGAATTGTATTACAAGAAAAAGAAAGACAAAAAGGTTACGAACACATTTGTAAGTTAAACAGGTTAAACGTTTTTCTGTTTTTTATTGGCTTCAATTAATTTTGTTTTTCTGTTCTGTTACTAGTTTTGTTAAATTACTTTTTATTTATTTACCAGCAAATAAGTTGTTATAGTTTTAATTTGTTTTAAAGGAATTTCATTTTAGCAATTCCTTTAACTTTACTTTTTCTAAATCATTTGTTTGAAAACATAGCAGTAGCTTATGCAAATGGTTTTCAAAAGTTATGCTTTTGTTTTGTTTTATTCTGTTTATTTTTTGTGCAGCTGCTTTAAAATAGTTTTAAGTACTTTAAATTTATCTCTTTTAAAGCAGCCTGTAAATTAAATTATTTCATTTAATCTTTAGTTTTAGTTTTTATTTTCTTAACGCTTTTGTTTTGTTCTACACAATTAGCTGCACAATTGTTTTAAACTATTAAGGGCTTTTTACTAAAAAAAAACAACAAACGAAAGACATACGTATACGTTTTGTAAGTAATATTTCATTTCTAAGGTCACCTAAAATATCCTACCCTTGGTCCTTTTTTCTAAATAGTTTCTGTTTCCTTCCTTTTTGTAAAAAATGTTTAATATTTTTTTTTTTTGGCTTATATAATTCTGTTTTTAATTTTTTTATTTTTAAAACCCTTTTTTGTGTCATATGTATAACATTGTTATTAACTGTGTACTTTCTAACTTTTTAAACAAATTTACCCCCTTAATATTACCTCCCAACTGTATGTGTGTGTATGCGTGTACATAATTGTGCTAAGATGGAACGCATTTTTAGTGGAGCTTGGAAAGATAAACGTGGTAAAACTCAAACTAACGAGGAGGAATCTGAACAAGTTAAAAAAGATGGTGATGAAGAAAGCGAAGAGGTATTATTTGCTTTTAATAGGAATATTTAAGAAAAACTTTTTATTCTTTTTAAAATATTTATAATAATATTTGTAAAGCTTTCTCTCTATTTTTTATATATGCTTTAAATTTTGTCGAAAAAGTTTAGTTATTTTAGCATTATACAATAAAACAAGACTAACAGTGTTCAATTTTGAAAAATGTTTGACCAGCTTTGCTTTTAAAAACCTTTGCAGACAAATCATATATATATATACATATCACCAGAAATTATATACTTTTTCGACATTTTTGTATATAAAACAAACTCTATTTACTAATCCATAATCAAACTTTTTAATCACTTAACTAACAATATTTAATATAAAATATTCTTTTGTCAACTAATTAAATTATTTACAATTTAACCCTTTTAATTTATATAATAACCCATTCTTCATAATATCTAGGATAATTATATCGATGATGAGGAAGGTTTACAGCGTAAACATAAAGTGGATACAACTTTACAAACCCATTTGTTTGGTAAAAAAGGCAATCAGGATTTATACTATGAGGGTTTCTACAAATTCATGGACAATTTACAAACTGAAGTATTAGAATTGGAATTTACCGAATTCTCTAAAGGCAACAAAGCCATTACTGAAGTAGATTTTGCTAAAATATTATTGCGTTATACCTATTTGGATACGGATGAGTATGATAGTTTTTTGGAACGTCTTTTAGATCGTGTTAAGGATGAACAGGGCATAACATTTGATGAATTTCGTGATTTTTGTCGATTCCTTAACAATCTGGAAGATTTTGCAATAGCTATGCGTATGTACACTTTAGCCGATCGTGCTATTTCAAAAGGTAACACAATCATTTTAATATCATATATAAATAATTATTAACTATTTATGCTTATATATCATTTACAGATGAATTTTCTAGAGCTGTTAAAATTTGCACCGGCTATACCTTGTCCAAACATTTGATTGATACCGTATTTGCCATTTTCGATCAGGATGGTGATGGTTTATTGTCTTATAAGGAATTCATTGCTATAATGAAAGAACGTTTACATCGTGGTTTTAAAGTAAGTGGTCATATGCTTGAATATAATGAAGAGTTAGATGAATTCGATGAACCTGAATATCCTATGTTTTCTGTGTGGCGAAGACGTGTCTGTCGCAATTTAGATTTTTTCTATTATGACAGTGATATTCCTTAAATTCATCGAAACTAATATTGCTGTGCCTTGTCTTTATTAATCGTGTTTTTATTTTTTCTTATAATTATTATTATTAATTTGACATAATACATAACGTCTTCTTGTCTGCCAAAAAGATCTATGTGCATTTGAGCCCAATACGACTTCTATTCAAAAGATTATTCTGCAAAATTCCTAGTTTTTTAACACATAGTTCTTTTTGCTAGCAAGACGTTGATAAGCCATAATATTTAAGCTTTAATTTTTAATTTTTGTTATAGTTCGCTTAACATATAATCTCTTTTTTTTAAATCTCACCATGACTCTATTTCAAATACCTATTTTGTACTCTTATATCATTTTTATTTTTGTTTAACTTATGAATTTAGTTTACGGCTTATTTAATTTATTTTTCTAAAAATTTCTTTTTTTAACTCGTATAACATTGGCTTTACATTATAAGTATTTGTATGTGCTTTATTTAAAAAACAATCTTTAATAAATATTATTTTATTTTAAAATTTTTAAAATAATTTTGTTTTAATTGGCTTTATACGTTCATTATTTCTTTTTATGTTTGTCACAACTTATGTGTGCTTTTGTAACTAATATTTAGTTTTATTAATTCATTTAACAGTTCAACAAATTATGACATTACACACCTAAAGGAGAGACTTTTTATAGTTGTTTTAATTTATACAAATGAAGTAATGTCTATCGTTAGTTGTGTTTAAGTTAAGCAATGATGGTCAAAGTTGTGTAAAAATCAAGCAACCAAAAGTACTACAAATCAAATGTATTGTCTATAAAAGTATAAATCTACGCGAGACGTTATAACAGCGCGAAATCATCTTAAATTTTTTATATCTTCTGAAAGACTTCAAAATTATGGTTTTGGTTTAGGTAAGAAGAGTAGCCACTCAAAAAAGTTTAAGTGGCTCACATGGGTCCGTCAGAAACTACTCACTACTTCCAGAGTTAAACTAACCGGTTCGATTCACGAAATTTAGGATATTCTTTAGATTTATCCCTGATATGTATATCGTCCATACAAGAGAGAACAGCAGATCCAAAATAGAATTCCCTGTTCCCATTAAATGTCGGATAGTAACAAAGGAGATGAGATATAATCCCCTCCTCATTGTGACAACTTCTGCAGTAGTCATTGTACTGGAGACCCATTCTTCTGTCATGATTGCCAATAACATAGTGTCCCATTATTACCGATAGTAGGGTGATACATTCGTCATAGGGTGATTGGGTCTCAGATATTGAGTTCCTCACGGGAATAAGAATAGAGAAGCGTTTATTGAAGTGTGGTTTCGTAACGCAATAGTCAACATTTAAATGCTAGGATACGAAATTGTTTATTATTCGAGAGTACCCAATATTCCTACCACCTATTGTGAATGAATATTACATCAGATCCAAAGAAATACACCTAAGCTTGTTGTGCGCCCCTTTACAGGCCAAAGTATCTGGTACCTACAGCCACGAGGTCAAACGAATTTCAATGTGCTTTTTATAAAGCACAATGTTGAGAATAAGTTAAGAAGTTATTCGACCACATTCTGCAATTTTATTTCGGTCGCAACGATCGAGAAAGGTATTCCAACCAAAATAGAATCGCAAGAAAATAAAAGGAAGAAGCAATAGGAATTATAATCCTACCTACGTTTTTATAAGTTATTATTTTACTGGCGAAGAATTGAATATTTTCCAGGGTTAAGATTAAAGGATTACGCAAAGGATGATGTCCTTATCAGACATGTGTTTTTGTCATCCTGTTATTTATGGCGTTTGCATGGAATTACTGTATTTTAAGGGGCGTAATTTCATAGCAACAAAATGGAATATTGCAGAAGAAAGGAAGAAAAAAATTTTAAGTTAAAACTGAAAGCAAAGAACCACACGCTGGAAATTTGTTCTAGCCCTTTCAAAATAAAAAAAGTTGTGTTATATAAGTCCACTTAATTGTAGTCAATGGGTTAATGACCACCAATGGGTTATTTTTCACTTAAATTTGTGTTAATATAACTATTTACGCCTTTGCTCCATCTTAGGCTTTAAAGAGTAAAATTATTCTGTCGATATTAATTTCGCACTGAAAAAGTGATGATTTTCAAAATTGGATTGACTAAAGATTAAAAATCCAGTGTAAAATTACAACAAATTAAAAACATATCAGAATTGTACGAATAAATAAAGATATCTTTCAAAAAGTAAATAAATCTATGAGGTTCCACTGTCGTTGAACCGAAGAATGAGCTTGAATTAAAATTGGCTTTCATCGTTTCATCAAAACATCATTTGGCTTAATTTGGCAAACATTTTCAAAATTATTAAAAAAAATTTAAAGCCAACACTAATAATATGCTAAAAAAAATATGTACTAAAATTAAATCAATCCTAGATTTGATAATTAAAAAAGACATGTTTATTATTTACAGAATGTTAACGCCGATTTCGATCACAACGTAAGTGATAACCTCAAATTTAAAATGGTTAAACAGGAAAACTTTTAAATAATTTCAACAGTTATAAAACAATTTTTCCATTAAACTGCTGTATTTATAATTTAAATTTAATAGTTAAATTACAGTTTCGTTTATAAGTTAAAAACGAGTTTTATTAAACAATTTTATTTATTTACTTGCAGTCGGTGGCCAAATCCGAAGGATGGGATGCTTTCAAAGTTTGTGTTAAACAGGAAATGAAGCAAAATAGATAAATTATTGAATATGCTAAAGAACTAGTTAAACGAAAGAAGCTTTTATCAGGCCAAATTTAAACTTATTTAAAACATATAAACTAATTATTTACATTTTATTAGATTCATATTAATTAAAAAAATTGTTAATTAATTTAAAAATATAATTCATGTATAACTTGCCATTTAATTAAATTTTATTTGTTTAAAAAACATATTTTAAGCGCTCAACGAGTTACATATATGGTCCTACGATTATACTTATGTAACACTTGCTAAATTGCAATCTTTGTAATACATATTTAAATTACTATTATAAATAATATTATGTTTTATTATATGAACACATATTTCAAATATGATGTAGAATTTATTACAAAATGTATCATTATGTTAAGAACTTAAATATTTTGAATATCATTAATAACTAAAACTTTTTGCTTTGTTAATCATATATTATTTTGTTGAAAAAATGCACATTTATAATAATTTTAAATTGAAATAAAAACAAATTGCAGTAAGCATAGTTAAAAAATAAAACATTAACAAGGTTCTAATAAGCATCTCCTGTTTAAGGTTTAAGATACCTTTGAACATTGACCGAACCACTCATGAAAGTTAAGCTCAAAATATCAATGACGTAAATTGATACAACAGTTTTTTTATCACAATTTTGAAATGAGTCCAACAAGTTCCCAATAATGTGCATTTTTTGTTATCAGAAATTATTAATCACTAATCCATTAGTCATTTGTTAATTAATTTATTAAGTACTTACTGTTTCTATTAATTGTGTATTAAGAATCAATATTAATTATTTATATAAAATTAATTTAAACAATTCTTGTTGTGTTTTTGTTTGTTATTTATTTTATTATCAATTAGTTATTATTTATTTTATTATTTTTATTTACATAATAAAAACATTCATCTTAAAAAGTAATTTACAAAATAATGGTTTATAAAACTCATAAAATTAATTTGGTAAGTATGTTTGTAATAAAGTTGTAGGTATATAAGGTTCATTCACATATTTTTTATATTTATAAATAAAATTCTATTCACATAATTGCTCAATTACTCAAAAACACTAAGATTTTTCAGATTTTAAAGGTTATTTTTTTTTTGTTTTTTATAGAAATATAAAAAAGAAATAGTATATTTATCACAGACAATTTATTCGTTAGGATGTTTAGTTTTCCTAACAAATGTTCATTATAAAACGAATAACTTAACAACTAATGTTTTATTTTATTAATATATATTTATGCTAAAGGAAATTAAAATGATGCTACAAATATTCCTCACTAAAGTTTAAATAAAATGGTGCGTTAATAAACAATTAATTAACTTAAAGGATAGAACAGCTAATTAATATTTGTGGAATAAATACATTTAACATCAAAAACGGAAAATTGCACAATTAATTTAAGTATACATAGTTTTGTTTTAAACTAAAACAAGAGAAAACTCTAGAAACTATTCATCTTTAGTTGTAGTTGTTGGATTTAAAGTCCATGTTACATTTTTATCCTTTTTATTATTGGCATTATTATAATTACGATTAGATGTCTTATTAGCATAACGTCTAAATTTAAAATTTGCAAATACATCACGTTTATCTTCCTCGACTTCTAAAGAACCTTCAAAATTGCGCAACAAACCCTGAGGCGTCGTTGTTTCTTCATCGCCCGTTGATTTGCGGAAACTATAGGTGCCCCTACGTTGACGTGCTTGAGCAGAAGTTTGTGATGTTTTTTTAGGACTATTACTTGTGCCTGGTTGTTTTAGCAAAGGTTTAGGATCTCTCTGCAAGAGAGTGGGATATAAATCATCGTCAGCATCAAAATACTCAGGCCGAGTAAAATGATAAGAGGAATTGTAATAGGTTTGGAATATAGGCTCATTTGAGCAAATACTAAACGCATGATAAGCATGCGATATTAAATGTGGGAATCTACTAATCCAATAGTTAGTAAATTCATGTGGAATGCTGCCAAGTATATTCTGCATTTCAACGGTTAATTCGTGATAATGGTGTTTCTAAATAATAAAAAACAATGTTACTAATATGTGTATAATATGTTTTTCTAAAAACTTACCTTATTTCTTAAAGCTCTCAATAGATCTCTGACACTTGCACCCATATAACCGCGGAATTTACGCAAATCTTCAGTTATTATAGGATCTAAATGTAAATTCCAATCATCCAATACCACAATACTACCATTTTTCTCCAGCGATTTTAAAGGCTCTACATTAAATTGTAATTTTTCAACACGATCACTTACATCCTGTAGAAAAGCCAAGATTTTTTGATTATTCCAGAATATAGGATGATTGCCAATACATCTAGCTGGTGGGCGAAATTGTGGATCTTTATGTATCATATCACTGATAAGTTGTTCAGCTAAAATCTTTAGATACAAATAATCAAATCAATAAATTGTTTTTTTTATAAATAGCTGCCAAAGAAAAAAACTTACAATTTTACTGGATTCTTCTTTGTGTTCGGCTTTCAAATGATTCATATTAAAATCATTGGCCAATATATTGGCCTGTCTCTTTAAAGCATCTCCAAATATGTGTTGTCCCTTGCTAAGGACATAGTAATAAACACAGCCCAATGAAAATATGTCTACAGATGTTGTCTAGAAATATTTTGAATAAAATTTAATTAAAAATATTAAAAAAAATGTTCAACTAAAAAGTTTGATGCAAAACTAGCAAAAATTTTAGGTTATTTTAATTATTAAATTTTAACTTACAGTTCTTTGGCCTTTCATCATTTCAGGCGCTATCCAGCCATCGGTACCCGTAACACCTGAGCGTCTAGAAAAACTTGTTTTACCATAATTAAGTTTTTTGCAAAGACCAAAATCTGAGATCATAACACGTACGGCGCCATTTACATCGGGTAAAGACAATAAAACATTTTGTGGTTTAATATCTCGATGAACTGAAACAAAAGCAAATGCGAATATATTTAACAAATATGCCTAAGTTTGGTCACATCAATATATTAATTATTAATCATTATACCAATATACAAGTATAGGGAGGCTTACCTATATTCAATGAATGCAAATGATTCAATCCCGCAGCAGACTGTTTCATCACCTCCCATACTGATATCTGCATACGTAATTCCATGCAACGTTCACCTTCTGTATAATCTTGTAGCGTAGCAGCACATAGTTCCACAGCTATATAACGAAATTGGCGATCTTGTTCGGTGCAAAAATAACGCACAACATTTTCGTGAGCATCACTCTCACGCAACAATGCCACTTCACGATCAGCGAATGTAAAACATTCCGGCAATAAACGTTTCACCGCCACAAAACGTTCCTCGAAAGTGCCCTTGAAAACAAACGTACCTTCACAGCCTTTACCCAACACTTCGTTGGAATTAAATGATATTTTGCCCACCCGTATATGACCATCTCCCAAATCTACCAAATCTTGAGCACTAATATTACTGCTGCCACTACCACGACTACCGCTGTAACCATTAGTTTTTGAACCATTCTCGCTTTGATTCCTCAACTCACGCACTGAACTGTACATGTACCAAAACATTATAAACATGGCTACTATTATGATGCATAATATAACATGTACTTGATTGCTGGGATGATCTATAAACCATTCGTAGATGAACGAACGCACTTGTTTACTATTATCAATGATAATTTCTTTGGTTTTATTCAATGCGAAACGACCAAATGTTTTATTAATTATTTTCGATTCAATTTCCAATTCAATGACCGGTTCAGTTTGTACACCAATATCGGCTGAATGTTTTTCATTGCCCGTAGAGAGTATAGAAAGACCGGGACCATTAAGTGCCGCATTAATAGTGGCCAATTGATGGTTATTATCGTCTTTGGTAACAGCAGGTGTTGGGGAAATTTGTAAATTTACATCGTTGGGCACATTATAGTGGCCAAGTAAAATACCAGCATTATTATCGAAAACATCATTTAAATAAATTGTATTGGGATCAACATTTGTATGAGGACCATCTAAAAGTTTGATTGGTGGCGCTGTGGTAATACGTGGTGTATTTTTATCCACTAAGGAGGGTAAGGCATATAGACCGTGTCTATGTTCTCCAACATATAAAGATTGGCTAAAAAAATAGTTCAATTATTAAAGGAATTAAATTTAAGTTTAAGCAACTTACAAAAGTTTAACTGTGTTGACATTGCCATCTTTTGATTCATCTAGTATAGCCTGAAAAGCTTCATCAGAAACAGTGGTAAAAGGAACATTAAGCAAGCCTTCGGGTCCCAAGAGAAAAGCTGCTACCACAGGACTGGTTAAATCATTCTTCCATAAAAATTTGCCATTTTTACGATCCAAAGTTAAAATATTACCATTTGAAGTGGTGGTTAAGTGTAAATATTCTGCAAAAAGGTTTAAAATTTAATAATTGAATTTATTTTTTTTACTAATTTATTTTGCCATCCTACCATAATCTTTTGATATATCCGGTGTGGTGGCCATAGAACTATAATCATAGAATGTAATATTCCAAGGTTTTGCATTTTTATTCTTCTTCGAACTGTCATACATCATGACGGTATATTGTGTTCGACCCAAGTAAATTGCTCTTGATGTAGCCCAACCTATACGTTCACCATCGCCTCCATCCACTGAGCCATCAAAGCCTACTTTTTCACGTCTTCCCGACTTGGGATCGACTATAAACCATGTGTCACTCTTTTTTCCCGAATACAATATGCCATCAGATGAACGACATGGTGCATTTGCCACTAGTTGTGGTATAGTATAGGGTAGTTTTTTTAAACTTCCCATATCACCCAATTGATAAATGCTACCATCTCGTGGATCGGGCAAATATTGCGGTACACGAACATTTTGTTGTTGCTCGGACATTACAGGCGGATCTGTAATAATAACATTAAAATGCAGTAAATAAATGGAAGGAATATAGTTTGAGATGTTTATACTTTGTACAGCAACATATTATGCTGTATGTTGTTTTCATTGTGCATATGCTTCTACATATCCATACATATTTGTTATTTATTAACCAATTTTGCCAACTTCCCGAAAGCATTTCTGATACTTAGTACAGATAAACGAGTATAGCTTAATTGACTCCGCTATCTATAAGGATCCAGAATATATATGTATAAATATCTACTTTTTAGACGGATAAATAAATACTTATTTAAACCCTTAATACAAGTGATTTTTTATTTCAAAGGAAACCCATCCCGATATTAAATACCAGCAAAATGTTTAATAGTTCTCTCTAAAGTTAATTGTGTAGCTAATAATTCTCAAAAGATAACATACATATGTACATATAATAATATACTCACATATGTTCCCAGATTTTTTATATTAAGCATACCCTGCAGTGCACTAAACTAGTATCACCCTTAAAATCTTGATTATTTTATATATCGTAAACCTTTATCAAATGTTCATACAAAATACAAAATTTGATAAATTTTTGTGAATAAGGACTATATAATGTCAAAATAAAACACTATATGACCAAAACATGATCTAACCAATGTTGTATTAGTGAAACTTTGACTTTTAAAACTGCGGGGAATTCAATTATTTATGTTGTGAATACTACAAATAAACGCAATTTTTAAAGTTATGATGACCTACTAGACTAGAGAATGAGTTCTAATTTAAACATATGCAATCATTATATAGCAACACTACAAAATATCGTAAATTTAAATATAATCTTAAAAATGTGCAATATTGTATGTGTGTTTTTCGTTTTGTTTTTTATTATTTGCAAAAACTTTGTCATTATTAAGTTTTT